TACAGAACAGTAGTGAGACCAGCTATGATGTATGGGTTGGAGACTGTGGCAGTGAGGAAGAGACAAGAGGCAGAGATAGAAGTAGCAGAGATGAGGATGTTGAGGTTCAGTTTAGGAGTGACGAGGATGGACAAGATTAGGAACGAGCACATCAGAGGAACAGCTCAGGTTGGTTGTTTTGGAGACAAAGTCAGAGAGGCCAGGTTGAGATGGTTTGGACATGTGCAGAGGAGGGATAGTGGTTATATTGGTAGAAGGATGTTAGAGATGGAGATGCCAGGCAAGAGGTCAAGAGGAAGACCAAAGACAAGATATATGGATGTGCTGAAAGAGGACATGAAGGTAGTTGGTGCAAGAGTAGAGGATACTGAGGACAGAGTTAGGTGGAAAAGGATGATTCGCTGTGGCGACCCCTAAACTGGGAACAGCCGAAAGGAAAAGAAGAAGAACCATAATTAAAACATTTTCGTCCGGGATTTGAACACAGGACATCTCACAACCCAAATGAGAATCATACCCTTAGACCAGGGGTGCTCACACTTTTTCAGCTTGCGAGCTACTTTTAAAATGACCAAGTCAAAGTGATCTACCCACTACAAAAATGTAAAACATCAATCAACAAACAATTATTTTCAACTTTATTGAGAATTGACAAAACACACATAATAATGAATTATTTACAATTTTTGTAATAACGTGAGTTAAATTTGATGACTTGCACTGAATTGAATCATTAGAACAGTTGTGTGGGACCTGAATTGGTTGTAATAGAGCAATTTAGAACTAGATTTTAAAGTTTGCATGTAAACTTCGATGTTGGCTTGTGTTGGTGCCAATAATACAGATTTTTTTATGTTGTCAATTCCCCAACATTAACATAATCCAACCCCCATGTCTCTATGACTTTCCTAAACTGAGATAGGTTCATGCAAAATTGGTTGCTATGGTAACCAGTAGAGTTGGGGTACTCGAACTTGGACTCGGACTGAAGTCCGGACTCGAGTCCAATTTTGATTGAACTTGGACTTGTCACGCACTCGGGTGAATTTTTACTCGGACTTGACTCGGATTTTGACATTTTGGACTCGGAGAATTTCCCGAGTCCAGTCGAGTCCACGTCATGTGTAACACAAATAATACAATTATAAAATAAATAAATTACAGCATTAAATTAAGATACGAAAATTATTGAACGTCTGGCTGCGAGCATCTATTTTCGGCACCTCGCCGGCAGGCAACAGTATAATGTAACGTTAGACAGAAATACATATCACAAGCTGGATCGCAGTGTGTGGCTAGGACAATGTCTTCAAAGTCAGCAATTATTTGTTTTGCTTTCATAGAGAATTTATTTGCAAGACATCCAGTAAAAAGAAGCACTCAGCAGACTGCAAATTTTGCAAATCAACACTTACCGACGTGTCTGGAACGACTTCAAATTTCTACCGACACGTTGAAAGGAAACATAAAGAAAGGTAAGAGCTTATTTTCTTAAATATTATCTTCATATCATAGTGACGATGTTCATACGTAGTGTAGATTTGTGTTATTGTTTGTATCTGTGTGCGTCAATATATCCGCGCAACTTTTATGATCCCATAGTTATTATTCTTGCCCTGGTAGTACAGTCCCACATATGGGATTTTAACATGTATAGTGAAATAACTTCCAGATTCAAACTTTTGCGCTGTGGCACGTAGCCAAAGAAGGACGCTCTCAGCGCTTGTTTTACGTCTATGGTCTATTTTCAACTACATAATGCATATTTTGTTTCACTCATTTAAAACACACGTAAGTACTAGCAAGACTATGTGTAATACAGAACGATCTAATTATATTCTAATTTAATAATTGTGCTCTGAATTAAAAGAACTATTTAAAGGGATAGTTCACCCCAAAAAATGTAAATGCTGTCATCAGTTAAGTCCTACTCACAATCATGTTGTAGAACCTGTATTAATTTCTTTCTTGTGCTGAACACAAAATATTTTTTTTAAGAATATGGGCAATCAAACAATTTCTGGTCCTCACTGACATCCATAGAATTTGTTTCTACTCTTTAGCAGTAAATGAGGACCAAAAATATCCCTTTATGGTCATCTGAAGAACTAATTTATTACCGGTTTAGAACAACTTGATTGTAATTTCTGGGTGAACTATCCATTTCAGTATGTTTTTTGAATTGGTAAGAGTTGCTAAAATGTTCATTTATTTTGTTACAGAATAAAGGAGTACAAAAGACTTCAGCAACCAGCAGATGCTACACAGCCCAGCATCACAGGATTCATAAGGCCAGGACAGGCACAACAAGCAGTTCAGCTTTATGATGCAAATTCACCAAGACAACAAGAAATCCACAATGCTATCATTAAGGATTTACTCATTGGCTGCACTTTACCCCTGTCAATTGTAGGAAATGAGCATTTCAGACATTTCTTGAAAGTCATGGACAACAAATACACTCCAATTGCAAGGAAAACAATCACTGAAAAACACATTCCTTTGCTGGTTGAGCATGTTAAGGATTCAATCAAAAGAAAGTTTGAGACCCAATCATCTGTGTCCATAACAGCAGACATATGGTCTGATCGAACCATGCGTTCCTTCTTTGGGGTTACAGCCCATGGAATAAACCAAACAGAAAATCAACTGGAGTCGTTTCTGTTAGACTGTAGGAGGTTTTGTGGCAGACACAGTGGAGACAACATAGCCATGGCTTTCGACGAGATCATTGATGAATATAACATAGCAAGTAAAGTCAGTTACATTATTACTGATAATGCAGCAAATAT